ACACTTCCCGTGATCCTCCTCATGCGAACATGCGCGCACCAACTACTAGAACTGCCTATTTCATCACGTGCATGGCGGAATAGAGACTGCATGTTTGTAGGTACAATTTCGTGGGGCAATAAAGCGTTCCAGAGGTCGTATGTTACTGCTGATGCCGCTGTGCTGCCTGTGTGTATGTGAACGTGTCTCGCTGGATTGACGACGTCCGTCCTGTGGCCAACGATTTTGCAGACTGTCGTTGCGACCCTCATTTTGCTGCGATGGCGATGTGTCCAAGTGAAAGGACGACCAGGGCTGTCAGAGTGAACGCTTTGGAAGTAAGGGTGGCGATGTACTAAAGAGGCTTGTTGTCTCTTTGGGTGTTTAAACAGCGCCTTTTGGACTCCAAAACACACAAGCAATATGCGGACAGCCAATTTGCCGTTATCATCAGGGGCACACTTTTTAATTTATCTCCATTCCTGGGATAAACAACGATTGCCAGAATAGGGCTGGTAAGATACGCCAGACGGTAGCCGAGTTGCACTATGGGTGACAACTTCGACTCAACGAGATGATTGGCTCCGGCACTTTGTGTACCTCTCTCTCTCTCTCTCTCTCTCTCTCTCTCTCTCTCTCTCTCTCTCTCTCTCTCTCTCTCTCTCTCTGACTCTAGTGACTGGCTTTCACAGCGAATGGGCCGGCAAGTGGGAGAGCTGGATGTCGTTTCCACACGGCTATAACATTTTACTTCGAAGATGGCGATGATGAGCAGAGTAGCGTCCACGTTACGTATCCAGTTTGTACATCCTAAGAATTGGGTAGGCTAGTTGGATAAGCATGATGTCGAATAAAAAACTCCATGCGGTGTAGGGGCAGAAAGGAGACCACTTAGCGATGTTGTCATGCATAGCCTGGATATCAGGCAGAGCTTTGCTTTGGCAGGAGGTCTAACATTTGGTGCATGTGCGCTAATGAGTAGCAGAGCGTTCTTCGACACCATGCATTCGAAGGACTCGCGCATCAAACAGCATATTGTATTCTTCCTTCAGTCTTTGCCAGAACACTCATCTCCTGCTCTGTGACGGTGGAAAAGACCCCGGACCAAGTATCCCCAGAACTGCGACATAAGGTTAGTCGGAGAACATTTGCTTTGACAAGACAGTTTTGCTTGGCCAACTCTTGAATGGAATAGGCCTGATGGTGTTCACTAGTCCCTTTATCCGCAAAAATCAGGCGTCCTTCTGATGTGCCTGGAAGTCCACCCGCAGACATGGGAGGACTTCGTTCAAGGACAACAGCAACGACTCACCTTCTTCTCATCCTTTCCGATTGGCCACAGGGATGGCCACGTAGATCAAATATTTGGTGCCTACGAGGAGCAGCTGTCTGTCTAGATGCACAACCACTTGCAGCAAGGCGTAGGGAGGAGCAGAAATTGTTTCAGCGGGCCGAGTACCAGTCGCGGAGGCCGATGGCCCTGACGCAAGTGCCTCGATTGTGCAAATGCGCGTGCGCGTGCGTGCGTGTGTCTGTGAATGACCTTTGTCCACCGGCAATCGATTAGCACGTGACACAACATCGTTTGGCGCGTGAGCCTCTCGCCAAGTCAGGCTCAAGTCACGTGCGCCGCGCGCATTCCACAAACACGAGGTTGTAGTCTGAGCGAAGTAGTCCTTTTATTTGCATAATGAATTTTAGCGAATGCTGATATTCATTTTTGATGCTCTATTGAATTTAGCTTGATGGAGAGACGGCAGGCTCAGGGTTCATTTCTACCGTAAGTTTCCTTCCCACAAGAAAGCACCTAGTGACGAGCAGATTGAGTGAAAAGTACTCAGAAGAGATTGGGGCGGGAATACAGTGTCGCAACACTTAGAATTGTCTATTCCCCCACCAGCCTGTCTTACGGGCGGACTACTACTACTACTACTACTACAACCACTACTACTACTACTACTACCATCACCACTACTATTGCTACTACTACCGCTGTTACTACCAATACTACTACCACTGGCGGGAATACAGTGTCGCAACACTGAAGAAAACTTTTTCCCCCGTCTACCACCACTGATACGGCGAATACTACTAATAATCCTACTATTAGTACTACTACTACTACTACCACCGCCACCACGGCTGCCAATGCTACTCTACCAACGCTTACAGTATGGGTAACTAACTGCAATAATACTAGCATCAGTAACGGAGTGTTGCGACACTGGTATCCAACCGAGATTGGGTCCAAACAGATGCCCATTTGTGTTATGGTTGAACAGTTCTACTTAGAAATGGAAGAGCTCGACTTATCAGGCAAATACTATTGCGGCACAAAACACATTTATTCGCTTCCACAAGTAAATCGACCATCGCTTCTATTCAGTCTGAAGCATGCGCCTTATGCTCCATTATATTCCCCTTTTGAAACATATCGTATATGCAGACATATATGTAATAGCTATCGGACAAAGTTTTTTGGTGACCAGGCATGTTGGTTATGTAGGACGCCTTTCGGCCATACATCTGCGGGCGCATTTCAC